ACAAAAAAAAAAAAAAACTTTAATTTTGATTTCATGGGGACTTTAAATTAAATTTTGCATTTATTAAAATCATCACAACAAACACTACAAATAAAAAAAGAACACTTTTTTTGTATGGAAAGTGATTTTTAAATTACTATTAGCATTATTTAAATTCAGTACAACTACAAACACATTAAATAAAAACTGTCTTGAAAATTATATTGTATTACAATTAGCATTAATTGCATTCAAATATATGATGGACAATTATAAATACACTTACATGGTTTGTGTTCTAAAATAAGGGTTTATTCTTATTCTATGGTCAAATCTGGAAGGTGTGAAAATGAGAAAAATTTATTTTCATTTATTATGAAAATAAAAGTCATAACGCTAAATCTCTTATCGGTCCTAAAATAGGTTTCTTTTTTATGAAAATTAATTTTGGGCTGAAATATGACCTGGATATTTCTCTGACAGATTAAGAGATCCATCTAAGAACAGATGTAAAGTGTTGTACAGCAGATTTCGTACTCCACAGCTGGGCTGCAGACGGCCAGTGCTTCCAACTTACCCCTCTCACATCAAAACACATTTTTTAAGCTTGATGCATTGTGTCGTCTTTTCTTCTTTACTGAGTTTTCTCAGCCGGTATTGCCTGATTTCCCGTACCAGAGTATAAAAGGCATCTTCCACTCTCTGCAGTGCAAAACACAACTCCCTTCAGTGTCAAGGAACGCACAGCCTTCTCATTACAGAGAAGCGGAAACAGTCCGAATTGGATTTCGGGAACCAAGTGGCACTATAAAGTTTTCCACATAGTGCTGGCACAATTAATATTAGCGCCTTCTTTTGATTATTTCTGGGAATATGGAAGGAATTTGGCATAATGAAGTTTTCACATCAACTTTCCACAAAAAAAAAAGCCAGGCTATTCCATGGGATGTAATTTTTCGCAGCATCTTCACACTTGGAAAACATTTTAGAAGAGTTTCTCTAAAAAGAATTAATGTCCCTGAACATACACACACAAGTTTTAATAAACAAAAGATAAGAGAATTAGAAAGTGAATCTGCTATTAGAGCAATAAACACAGAAACATTTCAGCCTGCAGCCAGAGGGAATTATGGGTATTGAAGACGGCACTATGGTGTCGGCGAGTAGCATGTGAGGCTCAAAACAGAGAGAAAAGAAATGAATTCATTTATTACACCCCAGCACCACAAGGAGTTGTGATTTGAGCACTGCAGAGGGAGGTAGAGTGTCTGCCCTGATATTTAATCAGCAGTTTAATAACCCCAACTGATTAATAGTGATTAAACCCCTGATCAATCAATCAATCCAAATAGCATTCTTTGCCATTAAAAGATTAATTTATGAAATCAAATACAGACAAATTATAATGAATACACATGAGAGACCAGGCACAAATCCAGAGGCAGATCACTTGTGTTGTGTGATATGACCAGATTGATTATTCATAAAGCCCGTCAGAATGAACTCATGCATAAACCCAGTGTAAAGCAACAGTGCGCAATGACCAGCTTTCCTACAATTTTACACATTTCAACTGCCTTCAGATGGTGTGTGAATGTTACAAAAACCGTGTCTAGGCCACAGTTACCTCCTAAAAATAATACAATAAAATGCCTATTTATGCAATAAGACTTACTTATATTGTGACTTTTTTTTAAATGTAAAAAAATTAAAATAGCAATTAGGGGTGTAACAAACTAGACGATACCGATCTCACGAAACAATACTTTCACAATACTTTAAATAAAGCCAAAATAGTGTTCAAATTTTACCTTTTTATTATTACTTCTAAAGACATATTATAAACAGTTAACAAAAAGTACTGTTCATTAAAATGCTACATGTTGGCATTACATCAGGGGTGGACTTGAATAGACTTGGACTCAGTCCTGGTCTCCAATGCACAGGGCAATGGTGAGACCAGAACACAAATATTCATGATTCTGCTTAGGTAAAAATGCAGAATTATGTTTGCCGTTTTCTTGCTTTCTGTTCCAGACTACATACATTTAAAGAGTTCAAATACTATATTTTATTAACGTATTTTTCCATTTTTAATTTCTTAATTAACATGGAAGCTAAAATGTGTGAGCTTTTGGGTTTACCATATTTACTAGCCTATTCATTTTGGGTGAACTATACATGATACAGATTATCATTATCCATGATACATATTGTTGCAATTTTGTATTGCGATATATTTTTTATGTTACACCTCTTATTAGGGACGTTCATTTCGGTTATTTTTCCTAACCGACGCTCGTTAACCGATTGTTAACCGACAAGATTATTTTAAATTAGAATTGAATTGAATTAGAAAGGATAAGTGTTTGTGACCCATTAAAAAAATACTAACATTTGTTTCCCGGGGATTAATTTTACATGCGCAAAAAGCAGCAAACAACAGAACATGAGGATTCACATGGTCTTCTGATCACATCGTGCACCTGCAGCGCTTCTGCCAGCGGAGAAAATCACAAAACTATATATGTAACACAGTTCGTAGTCACGGGAAGGAGGCGGAGGGAACCAGCGAACGTTCAAAGAAAACTTTAATAATAAAATACAAAAAACACAAAATAGTGCGACAGCCCCTCGCGGACGACGGTCGCGCACAAACAGAACACAAAATAAAATCCAGGCCTGGTCCTCTCTCGTCCAACACTGTCGTCACTCCTCCTTTTATCCTTCCGGAGCTCCTCCGTGGAACTCGAGACCGGTGAGTGGTGCAGGTGTCGCTCATTATCAATTACTCCACCGGCCTCGCTCCGTTCCCACGGCTCTCGGCCCCGCCCCCACTCGTCACAATATAGCTTTGTGTTTTTCTTTTCTCCGCTGGCAGAAGCTCTGCAGGTGCGTGATGTGATGACCATATGAATATATATATATATAACGAATAAATAGGCCTATACGAGAAACATATTTTTACTTAAATTATAAATTAAGAAAATGAAAGAAAAACCAAGTAGCCTAGTATTCATTTAGTAGCCCGGTTCATTTTTGTGCTGCGCAAAAGGAAACCAGACGGCATAAAGCAGCATCCTATTTTTCTTTAGGCTTATTTTACAAAAGCACAAAGATTTGTTTTTATTGTGAATGTACACAAATAAAGGCAAACCTTTTACAATTGTTTTTTTCCCCCTAAAAAAACACACTTTTATACGCATAGTGTATTTTAACCACGCAGCAAACAGTTTTAAATATTTTGATAAATTATTGAAGAAAAAAAAAATATATATATATATTTTTAAACAGTTTAACTGATTGTATTACTAGGTCAAAATTCTTACCGTCGGTTAACCGGTTAAAATGAACATCCCTACCTCTTAGTGATAAATATTTTTTTAAACAGCACAAAATTTAAAATACACACATACATACATACATACATACATACATATATATATATATATAT